ACCGAGTTTGGTGAAGATATCTCATTTACTTCTTGAGTTATAGCCAATTTAGTAAAATAGGCTCCTCCCACAACGTTTATTTTGCTTCCCCTAGCGACCGGAAATAGAAATTTCAACATTTTTTTGATAATTATTGATCTTCAGACTCCAGAGAACATTTCTGCACTGGTTTGGTTCCGATCGGGCAAAAAACCAGGGACTAGTTCGCAAAAGTAGTTTTTCGACAAAATTCAAAATGGCGGAAAAATTTCCATACCGGAAATGAAATCGGAGATATACGTTTTTTTCGTCAGGTGACCAGCTTTCCAATGATATAAGACACTTGAGTGTACGACTTACGGTCTAGGAGTTATGAGCCGTTTCGCGCAATTGGTCGCTATAGCGCCACCTATGGGCCAATCGGGCTCATAATTTGATAACCTCTCCTCGATTTTTGTACTACCATCTGACAAAGTTTCAGAGCTCTAGCACTTACGGTTTGGGCTGCACGATGCGTTTTAGGGGAGAATAATAATAATAATAATTAAAGCTGCAAGCAGCATTTAGCGGGGTTCAAGCAGTTTAGGCCTTTAAGGCCTTTAAGCACAAAAGCATCAAAAGACATTAAGTTTTAAGTTTCAATAATGGCAATTTACTATAGGGTACACATTGTTTTTAACATTTTAACAATTATAGCGCCACCTATAGTCCGATCTCCATGAAACTTTGCATGCTTGTTGAATACGTTATGACACATGTGCTCATCAATTTTTGTGAAGTTCTGACTTTTCCTTTAGGATTTATAGGCTTTTGGGTGCATTTTGTCATGCCCCCTTTTTTAAATGACCCTGTTATAGCAAAACAAATGACAAAGTTCAACTTTTTTTGATAATTATTGATCTAGAGAGTCCAAAGAATTGTCCCAGACTGGTCTGGTTCCGATCGGGCAAAAAACCAGGGACTAGTTCGCAAAAGTAGGTTTTTAACATATTCGTGAATATTTAACGAACGATTTGATTGACAGCAATGGTTCTTGAGGCAAAGTTGTTCAGCATGAGGAGATCTATCAATTGATATACATATTGTGGGGGTGTGTGCAACACCACGTGATAACAGAGCCATAAAACTCGTTAGCGCCAACTAGTGGCCGATTTCTTTCAAAATTCTTACAGACCTCTAGGGCCATGAGTCAAACATGCCCAACGAGTTTCGTTCCGATCGGCCTTCGTTAACCTTGTTTTATAGGTGCTCAAACTTCATTGGCCGATGGCGGCCATGTTTTTTGAGATACACCAATGTCCTCATACACATACATGGGCCTTGGACAAAGACACTGCATACCAATTTTCAAGTCAATCGGACTAACGGTCAGCTGGTCAGAGCCCTTTTTTTAGTTTTATTCGTTTTATAGCGCCACCTAGTGTTCCATCGTGGGATTTTTTTACTGTGACCTCAAATTGAGCTTATACATATGTGTACCGAGTTTGTTGAGGATATCTCATTTACTTCTCGAGTTATAGCCATTTTAGTAAAATAGGCTCCTCCCACAACATTTATTTTGCGCCCCCTAGCGACCGCAAAGAGACTTTTTCAACATTTTTTTGATAATTATTGATCTTCAGACTCCAGAGAACATTTCTGCACTGGTTTGGTTCCGATCGGGCAAAAAACCAGGGACTAGTTCGCAAAAGTAGTTTTTCGACAAAATTCAAAATGGCGGAAAAAATTTCCATACCGGAAATGAAATCGGAGATATACGTTTTTTTCGTCAGGTGACCAGCTTTCCAATGATATAAGACACTTGAGTGTACGACTTACGGTCTAGGAGTTATGAGCCGTTTCGCGCAATTGGTCGCTATAGCGCCACCTATGGGCCAATCGGGCTCATAATTTGATAACCTCTCCTCGATTTTTGTACTACCATCTGACAAAGTTTCAGAGCTCTAGCCCTTACGGTTTGGGCTGCACGATGCGTTTTAGGGGAGAATAATAATAATAATAATAAAAATCAATACAATTACAATAGGGTTTCAGCACTTCGTGCTTGAACCCCTAATAATAAAAATCAATACAATTACAATAGGGTTTCAGCACTTCGTGCTTGAACCCCTAAAAATCAATACAATTACAATAGGGTTTCAGCACTTCGTGCTTGAACCCCTAATAAAATCTACCAATTACAATAGGGTTTCAGCACTTCGTGCTTGAACCCCTAATCAATACAATTACAATAGGGTTTCAGCACTTCGTGCTTGAACCCTAATAAAAATCAATACAATTACAATAGGGTTTCAGCACTTGCTTGAACCCTTAAAGCTGCAAGCAGCATTTATCGGTGTTCAAGCAGTTTAGGCCTTTAAGGCCTTAAAGCACAAAAGCATCAAAAGGCATTCAATTTTATTAAACATACATTTATCCAGTGACATAATAGATGGAAAACACCATTTACAGCCAATACAGGCAATTAACCATTGCAAATAAATGGTTTTAATGCTTTTTTAACAGATATAGCACCATCTATGGTCTGATCTCCATGAAACTGTGCATGCTTCTTTTACATGTTATGACACATATGCTCATCATTTTTTTTGAAGTTGTGAGTTTTCCTTTAGGATTTATATACTTTTGGGTGCATTTTGTCACCTACATCTTGGATACCCTTGGGGTAAGCTAAAACATACGAAAAATTAATTTCAAAGTGAACTATCCCTTTATCTCCATTATGCTTGCTTACACCAGCAGGGTGCATTACTGTATCTCCTCATTGGCCTTCCTAAAAATACCATAAGACAGTTGCAGCTCATACAGAACGCTGCTGCCAGGAGTCTGAGCAGGACCAGAAAATATGAGCAGATCACACCAGTCCTCAGGTCTTTACACTGGCTCCCAGTTACATTTAGGATTGATTTCAAAGTATTATTACTGGTATATAAATCATTTAATGGGTTAGGACCTCAATATATTACAGATATGCTCACTGAATATAAACCTAACAGATCACTCAGAATTATCTCATTCACTCATTAGAATCACATGAGCTAGATGTGACAGTTGTCAAAGTAAATGTGACAGTTGTCATAGTAATTTTGGTAAATGGACAGCATTTATATAGCACATTCATAGACCTAATGGTCACCAAAGCGCTTTACATATTGCCTCACATTCACCCATTCACACACTGACGGCGGTGTCAGCCATACATGGCACCATTCAGCTCGTCGGGAGCAGCTGGGGTTAGGTGTCTTGCTCATGGACACCTCGACACTTGGTCAGGCTGAACCGGGGATCGAACCACCAACCTTTCGGTTTGTAGACAACCTACATGAACCACTGAGCCACTGCCGCCCCTACCCTTTTTGACTAAATTATTGTGATTATGTGATTATTGTTAAACTAGTGAATTGATAAAGTCATAATATGAATTATAGTTGAGTAGTCATGACAAATGACAATTTTGAACAGCAGGGGGCAGTAAAACTCCACTTATTGGCTTAATAGACCATCATGTTGATATCATGTTCACCTTTTTAACTGTTGTATAGGCATATTTTGTCCGATCTGTCTGAAAATGTTCATGATGTTTTAATGTCACGTGTTCTAACTTGTGTTTAACATCTGAGCATTCATTTCAAGGCTACATGTTGAAGCCATCGATTATAGGCATTCACATGAAGTAGTTCAACTTTTTCTTATAATAATTGATCAAGAGAGTTCAGAGAATTGTACTGCACTGGCTAACATTATAGGGTTAGGTGTCTTGCTCATAGACACCTCGACACTTGGTCAGGTGGAACCGGGGATCGAACCACCAACCTTTCGGTTTGTAGACAACCTACATGAACCACTGAGCCACTGCCGCCCCTACCCTTTTGGACTAAATTATTGTGATTATGTGATTATTGTTAAACTATTGAATTGATAAAGACATAATATGAATTATATATTATGTCTACGGTTCGATCTCCATGAAACTTTGCATGCTTCTTCAGCATGTTATGTCACATATGCTCATCAATTTTTGTGAAGTTCTGAGTTTTCCTTTAGGATTTATAGGCTTTTTGGTTCATTATGCCACACCCCTTTTCAAAATAACCCTTTTAATACCATGCAAAAAATTAAAAAGTTCAACTTTTTTTCAATAATTATTTATCTAGAGACTCCAGAGATTTGTCCTAGACTGGTTTGGTTTTGATTAGACAAAAAACCAGGGACTAGTTCGCAAAAGTAGGTTTTCAACATATTTGTGAATATTTAATGAACGATTCAATTGACAGCAATGGTTCTAGAGGCAAAGTTGTTCATCATGAGGAGATCTATCAAATGATATTCATTTTGTGTGGATGTGTGCAACACCACGTGATTACAGAGCCATAAAACTCTTTAGCGCCAACTAGTGGCCGATTTCTATGAAAATTCTTACAGACCTCTAGTGCCACAAGTCGAATATGCCCCTCGAGTTTCGTTCCGATCAGCCTCCGTTAACCTCGTCTAATAGGTGCTCAAACTTCATTGGTTGATGGCGGCCATGTTTTTTGAGATATGCCAATATCCTTTTAGACATACATGGTAACTTGCACCAAGACACTGCATACCAAATTTCAAGTCAATTGGACAAATGGTCAGATGGTTTTAGCCAATTATATGTTTATTTAATGTTATAGCGCCACCATGTGACCAATCGATGCAGTATTTTTACAGTGACCGCAAACTGTCCTCATACACATGTCTATTGAGTTTGGTGAAGATATCTTATTTACTTCTTGAGTTATAGCCATTTTAGTAAAATTGCCTAATTTCAAAATGTTCATTTTGCACCCCCTATCGACCTTGAATCGAAAATACAACTTTTTTTCGATAATTATTGGTATTCAGACTCCAGAGAACATTTCTGCACTGGTTTGGTTCCGATCGGGCAAAAATCCAGGGACTAGTTCGCAAAAGTAGGTTTTAGATAAAATTCAAAATGGCGGACAAATTTGCATATAAAATTAAAAATCCGAGATATACGTTTTGTCCTTCAGGCATCCAGCTTTTCAGTGATATAAGACACTTGAGTCTACAACTTACATTCTAGGAGATATGAGCAGTTTCGCGCAATTGATTATTATAGCGCCACCTATGGGCCAATATGGCTCATAATTTGATAACCTCTCCTCGATTTTTGTACTACCAGCTGTCAAAGTTTCAAAGATCCAGCTCTTACGGTTTGGGCTGCACGATGCGTTTTACGGCGGAATAATAATAATAATAATAATAATTAAAGCTGCAAGCAGCATTTTGCGGGGTTCAAGCAGTTTAGGCCTTTAAGGCCTTTAAGCACAAAAGCATCAAAAGACATTAAGTTTTATGTAGCAAGCATTATTTACCATGATAAACCATATTTCAATGTGGTTTTTCATGATTTACCATGTTCTAGTATGATTTACCATGAATCTAACATGATTTTCCATAGTTTACCTTGATATACCATGTTATAGGATGGTTTACCACAATATAGCAAGTGAAAAGACTATTAATAAGAAAAGTGGCCAGCAGAGGGCAGTAGAAGACCACTTATTGGCACACTTCCATTTTGAAATGCTTTGTTTCTCCACTATTCTGCACTAAAGCAAACCATTTTTTTCATGTTAACTTCATAAAGCATGCTTACACACAAACGCACGCACACGCACACACACACACACACACAAACACACACACATTTATAGTGTGTACAGTATATGTATAGTTTGACTGCAAAACATTAACAAAAAGAAATTTGTTAAATAAATTAACAATGCAAAATATAGTGTGTACTAGGGGTGGAGCCGAATACGGTATTCGGAAAGGCACAAATAATGTGTTTTTTACGAATACTTATTCCGAACAAATACTTAAAAAATATTTGTGTTCGGGAACAAGAAATACTGTATGTCAAAAAGCTGCGTTCCTCACGAGACCGCAGTGCGCGAGTTGAGTGAGCGACGTTCAGGAAGAGGTGACTGACACAGGCTGCTCCACACAGCAACAGAGAGGGCTCGGCTGAGCGAAAAAACACTTAACTGCATCACTATTTTTGTTGAATAGATGTTTGTACCTTAACTAGGTTCCAGAGGCAGTTTATAACTTTCGGGAAGCGGAGTTTGATCGGGAGTATATTCCATTATTGACGTCTGCAGACGAGTGCTCTCCTGTTCGCTCTGTTTACGTAGCTCTGTTAGCTTGGTAACGGTAATTATTTGTTTCTTATATGGCTTGGTTGAATTCTAATGTAGAGTGCGGTCTGTTATTATAACAGGCCGCTGCTTATAAGTATAACACACCGTTGCCATGAAAAACAGAGCGTTGCCATGGATTCTAAACGTAGAGACAGAACGGACTTTTTCTTTTTTATCGGCAATCGTTTTTTAAATCAATAAACTCCTGTTTATATCTATATTTTGAGTCAAATTATTGATTTACTTGGTAGGTAGCAATGTAATAAGCAGGGTAATGTAGAGCGAGGCGGTTGTTATAGCGAATATAAACCCGCAGGCTTTGCGTAATCCCTAACTTATTCTGTCTGTTAAGCGTCCTTCACCGTGGTGTTGGGGTTCATAATGTTCACAATTGTATTTTATTAGTTGTTGGTTTAACCATGGTTCATGAGGTAATGGCTGACTGTTATTTTCTTCTCAATGACTTTTCTTGTTACATGTTCATTGCTGGATTTATAGAAAAACACCAACCAATATTGCATAATGGATATAATTAAATAATTCATAATAGTAATTGAAAAGATTTCCTTTCTAATCTCTTTCAACTCCATTTTGCTTTTTCAATGAGACTCTGCCACTTCACCATGCACGACTCACCCGTTGCCTATAAATTGATTGTGAACCCTTTGGCTCATTCTTTGCACTCTTTCCTGGCATTTTGATGCATAACTGTGTGTGTCTTCATGAATTACGTGAGTCCATCTATTAATTTGATTGTGTTTACATTGTTTATGCCTTTTTATGATTTAATGTCACTGTCAGCCTGTGCGCTGCTAATTGATTAATTTGTTTGCCAGACATGTGCCCTGAGCCATGTTGAAAGATTGTTTGTTTCAATGATTTTTTTACAGCCTGTTTTATTGTGATTAGTACTCATATCTTTGTTCATTTATATCATTGTTCCTTTTGTGTTGATTGATCACTGTCACCAATTGTATTATTTCTTTATCTCCTTATGCAACAACACACAAACAATGCATTGATCCAAAGTCAACAGGCACCTAAGACGAACTCTTATATTGCGCTGCATTACTGTGTTGTTGACTATTACTGACGGTAAGGTTGTACTGTTGATCCTCGCGCAGCCTCTCGAGCAGAAATCTACACAAATGAGCGCAGAACACACTCAGACCCCATTTACACCTGGTATTAAAATGCGATCTGTATCCAGATAAGTTATCCGGATAATAAAAAAACGCATGTTAATGCAAGGTGTAAATGCGTTGTGATCGCGATTGGATCTGCCTGACCACATCTGCAGGTAGTCTGGCTCGCATTGTGTCCGGATCTTTACTAGGTGTAAACGCAATCTGGTTGTTGAAACCACATATGTATATTTTACTCCTCCCAAAAAGGCAAAAAAATAAACGAGTAAGCTTGTTATATAGGCTATATGTCATGTTATAGTCAGATATGACCCCTACAAACAAGGGACGTCCCCCGGACTTTTCAAACGTCCCCTTAGGTCCGCATTAGGTCCGCTTTGTAACGTTCCCTAGCGGACGTTCGGAGGACGTCCGCACTTGGTCCCCTTTGTAACGTTCGCCGACGGACATTCCGATGACGTTCGCATTTGGTCCCCTTTGTAACGTTCGCGGACGGACATTCCGATGACGTTCGCATTTGGTCCGCTTTGTAACGTTCGCTGGCGGACATTCCGATGACGTTCGCATTTGGTCCGCTTTGTAACGTTCGCTGGCGGACATTCCGTTGACGTTCGCATTTGATCCATTCTATAACGTTCGCTGACGGACGTTCTGAGGACATTTGTCCGGGCCAGTTTGCGAACGTCCCTATTTCGTCCCTCACCTGGCATTTCCATGACAACACTTAACCAGTCGCCCATGTTTGCTATCATCAACTGAAACTTTACAACTCAGACAAACGAATAATTAAACTAAAATATAAATGCAAATATTTGCATTGATTGTAAAATTAAGTTAATGCTAAAATGTTAGTGTTTTAATGTTAAGATAATGTTCATGTTACTTCATGTAAATTCTAATCACTAATTAAAGATGTATACCACGAGTCTGTTTTCACCCGTTATAATTTAAACATCAAAAACATGACAATTGATTCAATTGAATATGAGCTATAATTTATAAAGGCTATTCACATGCACAGAGATTGAATCCCAGGAGCTAATGCATCGACTTCAAATGATGAATGCAGCCAAGGAAAACGTGAAGAATGGAAAAGTGGATAATAACAGGTAAGACAAATAAAAGTATCCTAAACATTTACCTGTCAAACTTTGGTCAGGAGAAGGTGACTGGTTTTATTAAAAATAATTTATTTTAGGAAAAATATTGTTATAATTATTGTACTTAAGACTGATAGCACATACAGAACAAATAACAAAAAACAAAACAAAAAAAACATTGGAGAAACAAGCGAGTGATGATCAAATCATAGAATCAAATGCGGCTAAGCGAGTGACGTCATTCCTTATGTACGCGGTTTGTATCACAGTCTATGGTTTGTATCCATGGCAACGCTCAGCTGGGTAGCGTAGTGACAGTTAACGGTCCTTCTCAGACGCAGCCTTGTGTTTCCTCTGTCCGTCGTCTGTCTAAAAGGTATTTTTAATTATATTATTATAAATTAGTCACCATAACCACTGTCCATCTTCAAATTATATGAAAATGTTACCTTTTAAAACGTTTGCTGAAGTTGTCCGCAATGTACCGCTGATAACCGTTATATGCTAATATGAGTAGCAGCTACGAAGCTAACAGCTGAAAATGAGACAACATTTCACATATTGATAAAATCATAATGGAATATGTTCATTTTTGTTGTTTTAGGTAACGTTAGACGCCGAAGGGGGAGAGCCATCGGATTAATCCCACAGCTGACCGACAAACACACACACACACAGCTGCCAGCGCATTTGAAGACACACACACACGGAAATGCCACCTTTACAATTGTTTTAAATAAATAATGTACTTTGTACCTTACACCGCGTCTGTTTTCTTTGGTTAGCCAGAAGTAAAATAAAATAAAATGATATTCAGGGGACTAAACGCGAAAGTCTCATAAACGTCCCGGATGGCCGCTGGTGGTCCTGGGAACGTCCTCTTGAACGTCCGGAGGACGTCTTCGCGAATGTCCGCGGGACATCAAGCGGACTCCACATGGGGACGTTCGGGGGGACGTTCGCACAGGCCATTTAGGGGACGTTCTGGGGACCTTTTTTTGTTAGCTGGGACGGCGCTACTGCGACACAGATCACCCATCACCGCTCATGAGCGTCTATTCATCGAGCCAACGTGCAAACATCGCAAATAAAAGTGAAAGTAAGTCACAGACGCTTAACACACAATCATCTTCAAGTAAAGAAACGAAATTATCTTACCAGCGGTGTTGCCACTCTTTTATTGATGTCTTTGATTTGGAAATTAGCTGATGATCAACGAAATGCAGCTCATATCTGTTGCTTTTGGTGTCGTTCAATCCATTAAATCTGCATACGCAGGAGTTTAAGATCGGATTTATATCCGTTTTGCAAAAACACATGTATGTGGCCAGGTGTAAATGGAATCGGTACTTATTATCCAGATAACTTGTCTGGATACAGATCGCATTTTAATACCAGGTGTAAATGGGGTCTCTTATTTTTCCTGAACACCATCACGATTGAAAATGTGACATTGATTTCCTACAACAGTTCAATAAACAGTAAAAAATTAAATCACTTACATTTTAGATGCTATATTGGCTGTTTTTGTTGTGTTTCAGCAGCGAAAATAGTTCCAAACAATAATCACAGCAGAACCACCCCTACAAACAAGGGACGTCCC